ACCTTGCTGTCATAACAACATGAAATACAAATGCAGGTGCTCATTAGACCAACCTGGCTTCTTGGATTAGTAATGCAACGGCTTGTATCTTTCTGAGAAACAGTTTATATACTACACAATGCTGCCTAGTATATCCATGATCTCTTATGTAAGACATATCTGTTATGTAATGAGCATAGTTTTTCCCTAAATGGCATCTAGGATCCAGTGTAAATGGGGGAGATTCAATTCTAATATCTGCATAATGCAATTTATCATCTGTCTCTTATCATGGAGTGAGGGGGGAGAACTGTAGTATTTTGAAATATTCTATTTTGCCAATCAACTGATGTTTCCTCCTTGTTCTGAGATGGCATTACTGTCATCTTTTAGGTGGTCCTGTGATTCAAGCCTATTGTTTTCACAGGTGAAAGCTTAAATATGGATAACAGATTGTTTGACCTTCTAATTGCTTAACTAAAATGTTTCTTCAGAGGTCTGTCAAAATCAGAAACTACAACTCCATTTTAATTTAATCAAGGTAGGCTATGTGGAACAAGTTTACCTCCTGGCAAAGATGGTACTAGATTGGGTTATACTCCCAAGAAGTCAGGGTTTATTTCATGATGACTACTCTTGCAATGCAAATTAAAATGTAGCATTGCATTTTATCTCGCTGTCTAATGAATTGCGCATAAATCTTGGGTGTAATTATTTTTTAAATAGTATTTTAGAAATTGGAGAGAGCCTGAAAAGATAGCTTGGCTTTTTTCCTCACCCATGTTTTCTTAAGACAATGTCTTCTTTTGCCTAGAGAACAGGAAAGGATATTTGCACTATAGTTTCTTTGTGCGCAGCTTAACTAAAGTATGTTGTTTCTTCAAAGGTGGCTGTGACCTTCAGGTAGAGGACAGGGTTGCAAATCACATGGAATCTGGAGACATGCTCTGCTTGCTTTGGGGGGATGGGGCACACTGTATTTGGCATTTGATAAGCAGCCACTCACTTGGAAATTCCTGCTCTTTGCTGCCTTAAGGATTGGATACCCACCTCATAACCTCCCCACCAAACCCTGAAAATAGAAGCCTCAGAGACACGGTCACTGGAATGTTTTTACCTGTTTTCCGTGAATGAGTAGCTGGCCCATTTGTTCTCTCTGCCTAAGGAAAGCATTGCTGTGAAGTGGAATTTTGGAGCTGGTGATGGAAGAGGGGAAATAATATCTTTCTTTATCATGTCAATTAGCAAGTGGGAGAGTTATTATTTTTTGGGGGAAAAAAATCACCACATGGTGAAAATTGTTCTTTGTGAATTAAAATACAGTCTCAAGACAACCAAGTACCAATTTATTTTAAGGAATTCAAATACCTTCAGAGTTTGGTAAATATATTTGGGATACTTTGTGAGTTGTCATCAATATATTCTGAAGGAAAAATTAGAAGCACTTAAAGCACAAACTCTGCACAATGGCTGAGTCCTGATTGTCCACAGAGCTGTGCTGGCCCGCGCTCTTACAGAGATCAGGTCACCCATTAGCCAAGATGGGATTCAGGTGGGGTGGGTGAGGGGCACTGACAGAAGAGATTCTGGTTTCCTTGTGGCAGCATCCCTGTCCTCCTCCAGCTCTCCTCCCATCCTACAGCTGGCCCATTGCTCTTCTACGGCACCCCTTCTCATGCATCCCCTCTGAAGCTCAATCAGCAGAATGGACCTCAGAAAGCAACACTGTGTTAGTTCAGGTTGACTAGAGAAACAAGTCCATAGACACTCACTCCTATGCGTATAAGAAAGAGCTTTATATAAAAGAATAATTGTATATTAAGAGAACATCCCAGCCCAGTCCAGTCCAACTCCACCAGTCTGATATTAGTCCATATGTCCAATGGAGGGTCGGGGAGGGAGGGGAAAATGAGGAGCTGATTCCAAAGGGTTCAAGTAGAAAGAAAATGTTTTGAGAAAAAAAAAGATGATGACAACAACCAGCATGAAGCAGGGAACCAATAGAGAGGTCTGAGGGGATGGCCCCAATCCCAACTACATGGATAGCCCCCCTCCCCACAGAATAGTTCATTTCAGAGGACAGCATGGAAGCTCTAGCTCAGTGAGAGGAACATGTCTGATCAGAACACACAGGAGCAAATTAAGGGGGAGGAAGAGAGAGTGGAGCACATCCTGGCCCACCA